AGAGAGAGAGTTTGTGACAACAGTCACATTCTTAGTGCATAGTATATTACAAATCACAACTGTGCCCCTCTTTTATCTGACATATACACTCTCCTATCAACATCAAGCTTTTTAATTAAAAATATTATCTGTCAAACAAACAGATGAGGGTACAAATACTGTCTCAATTTTATTCAGATTCATATCCCATTGATGCCTCTCCTTCTGCAAATTAACTAATTTTCAACCACTCTAGTCATGAAGTTGATACTAATTTCCATTCAACTGATTCTGCTGGGTGCTGTCACTGCTCAGATACCACCTGGCACACCTATTCAAAGAACAAGCAGCCTTTAGGCCAGCCTACTCAAGCTGCATCTTACTGCCTTTGAAAACAGCAAGAACATTCAACAACTGGAGGACACTTTGGCTGCTGGGGCAACCAACATCAGCCTTCTATTGGACCTGATCAACCACATTCAAACTGGTCAACAAACCATGCAAGGCAATCTTCAAGACCTTCAAAGTGACCTGGAATCTGCAGAAAAGTTGACAAATATGTCAACACAGTACCTTGAGCAAAAACTGCTAGAACTCCTAAATCAATTGCAAAGTGTGGTTAAAGTGCAGGCTGATCAACAGGCCAAAGATAATGAACAACATGGCCAAATTGGAGGACTTCAAAATCAGCTCAAAACTATGGAGAATGCAACTGAACAGCTCAAGTCCAATCAACTGACCAAATGGGGGCAAGTACAATCACCAGCTAAGTAAAATTCAAGACCAAGTTCAGAATCTAGAAGAAAATACAACTAATACTGCCCAGATTCTATTCAAACAAGTAGAAATGGGAGACCAAAGGAATGGCCAGCTCACAGTGCTTCAAAACCAGCTACAAAATCTAGAGAAGATCACCAATAACACAGTCAAGGTTTTGTCCAATCAAGAATCCACACTTAACCAATACGGGCAACAGATTAATGATTCCAAGCAGATTACTTTTAATCAACAAACTACTCTAAATCAACATGACAGCCAAATCATTACCATGAACCAGACTCATATGGAGCGACAAACAACACTTCAACAGCATGAAACCCAAATCAACGCCATGAACCAGTTTATTTCCAAGCAACAGACCACTCTTAAACAACAGGAAAGTCAAATCAATGCCATGAACCAGCTTATTTCTAAGCAACAAACTACTCTGAACCAATATCAAAGCCAAATCAAAGCCATGAACCAACTGATTTCTAATCAAGACACAAGTAATAAAAACCAGGCAGCAGAGATAACCCAGCTGACTCTGTGGCAACAACGCCAGGACCAAACAGCACAGACAGCAAAGGGATCCTTGAACGATCTCAGCAGACGGGTCACAAATTTCCAGCAATCTGTAGCAAACACAGGTAAGACACCCATGCTATGTACTCTGCTTTAGGTCATTTCTGTGACAATGAAAACTAAACTATTGGTTGAATTTGAAAAAGTTCCTTTTTCCCTTTTATTCATTCAATAACCTGGCAAATGAATTTCTGACCACTTGAACAAAAATGCTTTGAAGCACATGGAAAATAATGGTTTTTCAGCATGTCCCACACACACTGACATTTTTCACTGATATGATGGATAAAATCGAACAGAAAAAAGTTCATTTGCTCCTTCTAATCAATCTATAAAATTCATTTTTCCTGTAATAAGAAAATCAGTAAACGTTAATTTGAAATTTAGACATTAATATGGCCGAGTACTCTTGCAGACTGTCCAGTTGGTTTCATGTGGTCCATGTTTTCTTGCTACAAATTTGTTGACCAGAAAAGAACCTGGCAAGATGCTGAAAACTACTGCAAGAGCCTGAATCCTGGATCCCACTTGGTCTCTATCAACTCTGCCACAGAACAAAACTTTATAGCTACATACATTTATTCTTCAGGTAAGTAATGGCTTATTAAAATACATTTTGGGTACCTCTGGTTCCACATGAAAAAATTACTTTTATACATGTTATTTTTGTTATTAAGTTGGTGTCATTCAAACAAATTCTTCACATAAAAGCAAAAGTATTTTAGTTCAAAGTTTATGGCCATACATGTTCGCATAAATGTTAACATGTTTATTATAATTTATGGTTTTATGAAGGTACTGTTACAGACAAGGAAGGAAAAATATGTGCATTACCTTTTACTTACAAAGGGAAAACTTATAAAAGTTGCACTACAATTGGCCACAGTCAGCTATGGTGCTCATTTGACATGAACCATGTTACAAAAAAGAGTCCCTGGGGAAACTGCATGGGTAAGCAACACTTCAATTTTGTTCAAATTTATTACCAAAACAAATAAAACTTTGAAGTAAATCACTAATATCAATATCATTATTTTTCATTATCCCACATTAATTAAATGCCAGTTATAAATATATATATATATATATTTAATTATATATTTTCATATACTCATATTTATCATACTTATTCTATATTATAAAGAATAAAAAATGTCTACATATAATTATATGAAATGCTAAATATATCTTATAATAATTTATATTATCAAATGCCTCATGCAATTAAGTACATTGCATACCATATTCAGGTCCTGCTGGTTGGAGTAGTTTGTATTTTTGGATAGGAGGGAATGACTTACAACAAGCAGGCACATGGAGGTGGGTTGCAGATGGACAAACTATGGTCTACAAAAACTGGAGGCCGAGAGAGCCATCTGGGGGCCATGAACACTGTGCAGGGGTATCTACACATCCTGCTCATTATAACCGATGGAATGATTTTTCATGTTACAATAAATATCCATTTATTTGTGAAATGAATAAAGTCAGAGTCTAGCTGCATGGTTTTTGGCAAAGGTGCATCACAATGCTTTCAAAAAGAAGTTGATCAAAAACAGTTCATAAAATTGACTTCTGACTCCTCTTGAGAGTCTCATTAACTCCTTTTTCTATGATATCTAGATCAGATTACTGATTAGAAGTGATTCCTCACAGCACATAAAGCCAGAAATTAAATGTATTTGGTGAGAAGACTTAATGAAGACCTGTAAGGCAATGAAAGCCAAGCCTTGTCACAATTTCCTTTCTATCAATTCTAAGGAATGTGAGTGGCACATTTTGTGCAGAAAAGATCACAAGTAAAAAAACAAACAAACACCTAAGTTAGTTAATATATAATGCTATCTTGACCCAATCTTTTGTAATCATTGATTTTTCATCTATAATAAGAGTACTTTAAACCAAAAGAGATACTTTAAGTAACAGACAGATAAAGAGATATGATGCTAGTCCCAACAGATATACCAACAATTACTCTATATAGTCTAAGTACAATGAACCTAGGGGACAGCAGGATTTACTTTGCCCACAAACATTTAAAGGCAGAAGACAAAATCAGAAATAGGAGTGATAAGAGCTAGTGCAGTTACAAAAATTAATGCTGGAAGTAACATATAACCCAGAAAATGTTAGGAGATATCTAATATTGAATCAGCAGCATAGTTTAGAAAAAAATCACTGGTAACATTGCTAATACGCTATAATAAGAAGGTTGTTTTTTGAATAAATTAAGACTGCATATCTTTAACCTTTTTATGTTCCTAATTGAAAATTGATTTCAAGAACAAGACAATTATAAAAATACAAAAGAAAGTTGTATTTTATTTTTATTTTTTAAAAATCATACTGATAGAGATAATCACCACAGTTTGTATCATTGATGGATAGCAAACAGGAAAACTAAAGATAAACCTGTACACCTTATAATGGACAGTTAGACAAAACTGATTCATTAACGCAACATATCCTTTTTCATGCTGCACACATTTAATAAAGCAAGGAGCCAAGGCATAAAGCCAAAAGTCTGCAGGTGGGGCAATTTTCTCCACTCTGATGGCAAGTTGCGCAAGCGGGTGTACTCAGATAAAAACATGTCAATTTTACTTTGATAAATACTTACTTTGCATGTAAAACCTTTACCTGATTATCCCAGGTACAAAAAAATTAAGGTCAGCCTTGATATATTTATGACTGGAACCATCTTTCAACAATGAGCACAAATTCAAATCTTAGCGTCAGTCTACTTTTTTTCGTCTTTTAAATATTACTCAATGCCCTATACTTGAAACACTGCTGTTTCTACCATTAATAAGCAACTGAAGAGTATATGTTACTAAAAATGCAAATGGCAGTTTCTTCAAATCCTTACTGTAATTCTTCCTCATTTTTTAAAGATTCAAACAGTTCTACTAACCTATGCATTCATACCTTAATGTGCTACTAAAAAGTCAAGTAACAAAAATGTTAATTTTCTTCTTAATTATCTAACATCTTGTAAACCAAGGCCAATTTGTGCAGCAGGTTTTTTTTTTAGACCCCAATAGATATCATCGGTCTACATGGATCACCCCAACAGGGGCTCTCGCTAAGTGCAATCAGCTTAACTGGATGACACAGCTCCTCTTGTTTCCAATGTACTCGTATAATCACCAGCTTTGCTGTATTTTATTGAATGCTATAAGGTGTGATTCAGTTAGGCTGATCACAGCCAGTGAGAGTCTAAGCAGAGTTTGGACTATCCATGTAGACCAAAGATGTCTATGGGAACGGGGCCTTATATCTTAGCCTTCCCTTGTCTCTTCAATGATTTTCTGTGAACTGGGGATCATGACTTTGAAACAGAAATTTAAACCAAAAAATCAGAGATGCCATTTTTTTCTCCACATACTCGGTGTTATCTCTCAAACGGCTGACAAATTACATCTCATATCCCTTCCAAAATTAGAAAATGATTTAAAAGGTCAATAAAGCTTCCAAGGGAAAAACCAGGTAAGAAAGACAACTCAGCTTGTCCAGGTTGTATCTGCACAGCAATCCAGCTTCTCTAGTAATGAATTACCAAGTGTAAGCAATCTTCCGCTGTCATTCACATTAAGGTAAATATTCAAAAGTCTTTTTCATGTATGTATTCCCAATAACTTGTCTCTTTATATCCGATACATCAATCACCCACTTCTCCATTCACAGAAAAGTCTAACTTGATTTATTCAAGATGCCAGATGAATAAATAAACATAAAGGAGTCGTAAAGTATGTTATTTTGGCAAGACCAATGCATAAGCCCCCCCCCCTCCCCCTAAATTCTAATATGGTTAAATATCCTCAAAAGCGTCTGTTATTAGTAACATCTATTTTGAACTCAGTATGAATGGTTTCTTTAAAATACATTTGACCTGTTTCCCTAAACTGTTCAAAAACCAGTTTGGTAATGCAACATTTCCTTAGATAAAAATGGGCTACATGGAAAAAATATATATCACTTACACATACAAGGAAGAGTTTTAGACCAAGTTCAAATCCTCTTGTTGCCTTTATGGTATTAGTTTCAGCCAACTTAACATCAAATCTTAAAATATAAGAAGAGGACATATGAAGAATTTAATTGAGAGAAATTCCTTAAATGAAAGTTTGATGATTATAAGGTAAGTCTGACCTGTTTGGCCCCCCCATCCTCCCCTGCTAGCCAAAACAACTTTACAAAGCACACACACACATGCATGTTACTGTACAGGAAGAAAAATGCAACTTGATAAAATCATATCAGGAAGGTGTTCAACAACTGGTTATCGCTCTCATAATGTGTCCCTTCTCGTGCATACACTTATTGCAAACACCTCACCACTAGATCAAGTTTAAAGCTGTATTTCTTTTCAGGTCATGCATGTTTGATAATCTGAGAATCTTTTTTGCCAACCTCTTCCAGGTTAATTTTGAAAGGTTTAGCTTATAATCCATAGAGAAGAACACAACCTGGTAATATATCAATGTTCCCTAAGCCTGCAAACAGAACAGTGATTAATCTCTTTATAAATTCCTGCATTGCTACATAATAGGGGTTGTGCACTTTTTTTTTATAGAAAAACCTAACTAATTCAAACAACTTGAAATAAACATTTCAACCGGACTTCCTCTAAAATGTACCAGGCTCTGGTATCAAGCTAAGAAAACATTTGCTTCTAAATCAATCAATCAGTAAGATATTTTTTTCAGAAGAATAAAAACTGACAATTTGGGTGTAAAAAAGTTAAATATTTCTATCAATTTCCTTCAGCCAAAATAAATCATGTATATCCATTGATAACAATTTAGTATCCTACTGAAAGCCAAGGGTCTTTCCTATGATAATAAATACCGGAGAGACACCAGTGTGAATACAGTATGCATATGACCTGAGTAGAGAGTTATAGGTGACAGGGTGTGAGGGGACAGAATATCAATAGCTGACTTCTGTAGCTAGGTGACCAGGCAGACAGGTATATACACACTGCTAAACTGGATCTTTACCTAGGCATGACCTAACATGATATAACAGCTCAGGTAAGATAATCTGACTGAAAGTTTTATTTCACTGTTCATTTATAGCCGCTGTTCTATAAACGTGCATGCTTCCAAAACAGTTAACAATACCATATACTTTGAAATGAAGTTTCATATGGGCATGACACGTTTCTTCATTTTTTAAAAAACATTTTAGATCTTACAAATGATATATATAGTGTCTTTTATAAGATGATCTTTAAAAAAAGTATTACGCTCTTTGATATCCATCTTGACATAAACATAGAATTACCTCCAAAAAATATATTGGTTAGATCATTTTAAATAATGCTATGCAATCTTTGTGCAACACAAATTTTCAACAAAAATGTGTGCAACGAGAATTTTCAACAAAATTTACTTAATACAATATAAAGTTCAAGAGGTGGCAAATGACATAAAGCTTGAAATATTTAAAGAATAGCCACATGTGACACTAAGTGGATGCAGCTAGGGTACTTTTCTCTGGCCATTTATCTGAAGGTGACATGAAGTAGTGTCTGGGTCTTTTATAAAGATGGACATTAATTTCAGTGTTTGTCTGCATCTATTAGGAGTTGATCACAGTGAACTATCCTGCCCCTGGCCTCGGTATCAGAGAGATCCTGCATTTCAATTGGTATCAACCTAGATTCTTTTGAACATTCTTCAAATTCCACTTTATTATTTCTTAACTTTATTTTAAAAAACTGCTGGCCATCAGTGAAGAAAGAGGGGAAAGGGTGGGTGGGTTAGTGGAATGGGTTGGTAGACTTATAAACTAGTAGTTGTCTACTCAGACCTGTAAATTTAAAGTAATAAATGCAGCACAGTAGCACTTACATCAGGTTTATGTCGACAACTGGATATAAAAACAATAATTAAACATGGAGAATTTAAATTTAAATGAAACCATCATGCAATTAAATATAGTGAAGCACTCATGTACCATCAAACTTCTAATATATAGGACTATCTGACCAGGGAAGTATTGTGTATGCTTACAAATTTTCCTCTTTTTCTGCATCCATAAATACCAGTTTCTTTACCTTAGCAACATACTTTATGCTCTGTTTACCTGCAGATAACTGCAATTTAATTTGACTGAATCGATAGGAATGTCTGGTACTTTCTAGTTGTGAAAAACTGGCAATTTGCCATCATGTACACCTCAAGGATAAACTGGTCGCTAGACACATTCTTGCATTCATGCCCGTATCCCTGGGTGAAACTGTCACATGATGAAAACTAAATATGTTCAAAACAGCAGTATGTGTATTAAATTGACACATATCAAAAGAAACAATAGTTGGATGAGTATTGACTGATCGGCAGAATAATATATATATTTTAATTCAAAAGCTGTATGTGATATTGCCATGAATAAAAATATTCTTTCTTTCTTTACATCTACAGTATAAACAGAAAAAAATCTTGTTAATAAACTACCTTTTACTTTTGTAAAGGAACCCTAAATTGAGTATCGATGCATTATTTATTATCTCATTTTTTTGCAAGTTAAATGTGAGTTTTAATATGTCAGTAAAACAAGTGTGCTTTTTTGCCAGTTCCCAAGACTATAAATGTGGACACCTGGTCTGCATGGCAAGGACATACTNCCGGACTACAGACTGACAGGTTGTGAAATTTGATGTTGTCCTCTGATCTGGATGTGAAAAGGATAATCATTCAAGGGGAAAATGTGCATTTATATTGGGAATGTTATGTCTTTCCATTTGCATGACTGTATGTTGCAATATATGTTGTACACTTAAAATATATTATACAATGGAAGACATCTTCACAAGAGTAAATTCTGAAGCCGTTAAGTGAAGTGTGGCCCTGAAAACATCTAGTATAATACAGGCAAGATCAAGTCTTATACTTACTGTGACATCAGCTGGTTCTTTGTTCTGTTTACTTGTATCAAGTTGGGATAAAGCCCAGCACAGAGGGCAGCTTTGACCACCGCCCAGTTCTCTGAATTAGCGTTCAGGTCACGTATGTCACCTCCCCCACGTGCTCGAACAAACCCTGAAGCTCGCAGCTGACCAAGTAGTTGTGTTCTGTAATTGACATTCACAGTTTTCACCTAAGAGCCAATCTTCTGTATTTAACCTGCATATTAATACAACCAAAAGTCAAACCAACTAATTATAAAATTTGTCCATTTCTATCCAACAGTGATAATATAAGAACAAGAATAACTACCTCATTCCCACAATCATTTCCATAGTGGCTGCAGACAGATAGTTTCTTTCACAAAAAGATTTCTCCCAGCCGTCTGCCCTTGCCTTCTGCCAAGCCTGGAATGCTCTCAGTAATGTCATGTGGTCACTGAATGTACCAGAGGCAAAGGTTTTTCTTATCATGGCTAAAGACCGCTTCTGATATGGCTGGGATGGCAGGAGAACTGGCAGAAAAAAAAAACAATCAAATACAAGCAATTACTTCTCAGGACTTTACAGGTTTTATTCAGACAGGATTAAATAAATTGACGATAAAACAATTTATTTCTTAATTGCTTCAGTAAAACTTACAAGGCCTAAAACCCACAACACACCTGATTTAAAAAATTGAGCCAAAATGACACAAAGTATAAGAGTTATTAAGACTATTACAAGCTGATTCAACAGCAATTCAATTCAGCTTCAGTTTTCTGCCTCAATGTTTGGAGAAGAACATACTTTCCTGCCAAACTTACATGGGTCCTTGTAGGCCAGAGCACAGGCAACAGTGAGGATAGGATCCAGACACTTGAGGACCACTGAGAACAGGACCATCTTGCCATATTTGGGCTCTACTGGGAGATCAGACAAGTGGTGGCCAAGCTCTGTCAGGTCCTCCCACTGGTCCAGGGCATCAATTTTCTGGAGAATAATGGGGGTTTGTTTCGTAAAAAAAATTGATTGCCTTTTTAAAAAGTATACAGAAATAAAATCATCTCTTTGAATTTGACATTTTCATATCACAAAACGATTATTATTATGTAGGATTGTGATGCGGTGAATGCGCATACATATTAACTTATCAAGACCTGAAAATTACCCAGGAGCACAATGTACACATTTTGCAGTTATAACAGCAGAGTTCTGTGAAAAGATGTAAGCCATTCTCCCATGCCTCACCTGCAGCAGCTGCACAGCATTCATGGTGGTCAGGTAGGCAGGGGGCTCTGGAGCCTTAGCCAGGAAGTCAGCTATCGGGATATTGACAGGGGTCAGCAGTTTGGTATGCAGGCATAGTTCCTGGTATAAATGGGTTTAATTATTTATTCAATACATAATAGCAAATAACAACACACTAATTAACCAGCAAAATCATGAACATTATTGACCATGCAAAATGATAGAATTGATGGTCTGGCTATCAACCAAAAAATTAGTTGCTTTATCCAGGACTGATATTATCAAGAAAGCATTAACATTTTGGATTTTTTTTTTGAAAAAGTGTACCAGGAAGACGGCAGCATGTTCAAGAAAAACCCAGCACTTACCTCAAGTGGAAACCGTAGTATTTCTGGCAGCTGGAACTCCTGCATGTTGTTGTAACGTATTCTACTAAACAGGTGATAGCATGTGCCAGCACGGCAGCGACCAGCTCTGGAGAGAGAAAAATGCATATTGTCACTACTATGACTAAGCATAAAAAAGACTGAAATTATTTTTATATTGTTGAATATATTGCGGACTTTAAAAAACAAGTCTTAATAAGAATTAAGTGTAATAAATGAGCACAATCAGCAAGAAGAGGTGGCTTTTATAAGTTCAAAAATCTTTCTGTAAATAAACCCTTATATCATGATTATTTACGTACATTTCACTGCATTTACATGGATGTTTTTTTCTTCTTTTTTTATTTATTTCTTTTCCTTTTTGCCATCTGTGAGTCTACTTCAAACAAAAGACTAAATTCAGGAATTCTCAGATATTCTCTGCCATGTGCAAAGTTCTCACCTTCCTTTCCTCTGCAGTGCACTAGCCTTGGAGATCCAGTGACACTTCAACATGGACACTGATGTCAGGGCATCAAATGATTTCTGCAATAGTCATGATTCAACATAAGACTACATTTCCATACACCAATTGTAACATGATGACATTTAATGTAAAAATAATACAAATTATATTTAAAACAACATGCAATGTGTGTTCCTGAAAATATTTTAGTGTCTTACCTCCTTAACTTTCCCAGAGTCGATAACAAAAACAACATCATCAATGGTCAAACTGGTCTCTGCTATGTTGGTAGCCAGGATCTGGAATATAAGAGCACAGAACAGAACTAATACATGGTCACATACAGCACAATATCATAACTATTAAACAGTATCAGTAACATGGGAAACTAGGAGATGAGTTGTAATGAACAGGAAACAAACTTCTTTTCAAGGAGTCTACTCACAATCTTCCTAACCCCTGCTGGGGGCCTCTTGAACACTTTCTTCTGATCTGTTGTCTGCATAGCTGAGTGAAGCATGAACAAAATGTACCTAAAAATAAAAGTATAAGGCATGCATAGTGTCTGTATAAAATATAAAATGACCCCACATATGTTTATATATATCAAGGTAAAGACGTATAATGCTTTTTTTTTTCAGAAAAATAGATGGAAAGAAGGATGGAATATTTACATATCTTACTTGTATAACATTTCCCTACTCGTATAAGCACTGCAAACATATCACTTAGTAAAGAGAAGCAGAGATAGTCTCACTTAAAACTATAATTTTACATTGAAAACTATTTCATGTAATATGCATCAATATCAAGGTCTATATCAACATAGTTGCATTAACCTGTTGCTGTCCCCAAAGTGCTTGTCATCATTGATAATCCTGTCACGAAGACCAACAATTTCAACATAGCCAGGCAGAAACACCAGAATGCTACCTACAAAAACAATTAATAATCATATTTAATCATTCCAATAAACCAAAAACATATTCTACTTCATGTGTAGCTGTATTCCATTACATTTTAACCTTGCCCTGAAAAATCAAAATATCCGAAACTAAATGCAAAAGAGTGATCAAAATAATACTGTAAAATAAAATATAATATTTTACTATATTGTGAAAACCAAAACCAGAAACTCCTTGTACGGGGGCGTCTCGATAGTCCGAAGGTTCATTGGTCCGAAAAGTGGTAACATTTTCATCGATTTTTTAATGAAGGGTTCATTGGTCCGAAGGTTCTATAGTGAATATTCGGACCAATGAACCTTCGGACTATTGCTACGGCCCCCCTTGTACATCCTCACTGTAGGACACACACACACACACACACACACACACAGAGAGAGAGAGAGAGAGAGAGAGAGAGAGAGAGAGAGAGAGAGAGAGAGAGAGAGAGAGAGAGAGAGAGAGAGAGAGAGANAGAGAGAGAGAGAGAGAGAGAGAGAAAGAGAGTTTGTGACAACAGTCACGTTCTTAGTGCATAGTATATTACAAATCACAACTGTGCTCCTCTTTTATCTGACATATACACTCTCCTATCAACATCAAGCTTTTTAATTAAAAATATTATCTATCGAACAAACAGATGAGGGTACAAATACTGTCTCAATTTTGTTCAGATTCATATCCCATTGATGCCTCTCCTTCTGCAAATTAACTAATTTTCAACCACTCTATATAGTCATGAAGTTGATACTAATTTCCATTCAACTGATTCTGCTGGGTGCTGTCACTGCTCAGATACCACCTGGCACACCTATTCAAAGAACAGGCAGCCTTCAGGCCAGCCTAATCAAGCTGCATCTTACTGCCTTTGAAAACAGCAAGAACATTCAACAACTGGAGGACACTTTGGCTGCTGGGGCAACCAACATCAGCCTTCTATTGGACCTGATCAACCACATTCAAACTGGTCAACAAACCATGCAAGGCAATCTTCAAGACCTTCAAAGTGACCTGGAATCTGCAGAAAAGTTGACAAATATGACAACACAGCACCTTGAGCAAAAACTGCTAGGACTCCTAAATCAATTGCAAAGTGTGGTTAAAGTGCAGGCTGATCAACAGGCCAAAGATAATGAACAACATGGCCAAATTGGAGGATTTCAAAATCAGCTCAAAATTATGGAGAATGCAACTGAACAGCTAAAGTCCAATCAACTGACCAAATCGGGCGAGTACAATCACCAGCTCGGTAAACTTCAAGACCAAGTTCAGAATCTAGAAGAAAATACAACTAATACTGCCCAGATTCTATTCAAACAAGTAGAAATGGGAGACCAAAGGAATGATCAGCTCATAATACTTCAAAACCAGCTACAAAATCTAGAGAAGATTACCAATAACACAGTCAAGGTTTTGTCCATTCAAGAATCCACTCTTAACCAATATGGGCAACAGATTAATGATTCCAAGCAGATTACTTTTAATCAACAAACCACTCTCAATGAACATGACAGCCAAATTATTACCATGAAACAGACAACACTGCGCCAGCAAGAAAGCCAAATCAACACCATGAACCAGTTTATTTCCAAGCAACAGACCACTTTGAATCAATATCAAAGTCAAATCAATGCCATGAACCAACTGATTTCCAAGCAACAGACAACTCTTAACCAACATCAAATCCAAATCCAAACCATGAACCAACTGATTTCCAGCCAAGACACAAGTAATAAAAACCAGACAGCAGAGATAACTCAGCTGACTCTGTGGCAACAACACCAGGACCAAACAGCACAGACAACAAAGGGATCTTTGGATGATCTCAGCAGAAACGTCACAAATTTCCAGCAATCTGTAACAAACACAGGTAAGACACCCATGCTCTTTACTCTGCTTCAGGTCATGTGGCAATGAAAACTAAACTACTGATTAAATTTGATAAATTTCTATACTCCTTTTATTTATTCATAACATGGCAAATGAATTTCTGACCATTTGCACAAAATGCTTTGATGTGAAGCAAACTGAAGCAATTGAAAATTGATGTCTCACGTGCAGCATGCCCCACACTCATTGACACTGACATGATGCATAAAATCTAACAGCGAAAAAAAAAAATATATATATAATCTGCTCCTTCTAATCAAACAATAAAACTCATCTTTCCTGTAAAAATATCAGTAAACAAAACAGTTTGAAATGTGGATAGTAATATGGCTGAGTACTCTTTCAGATTGTCCAGTTGGTTTCACATGGTCCATGTTTGCTTGCTACAAATTTGTTGACCAGAAAAAAACCTGGCAGGATGCTGAAAACTACTGCAAGATCCTGAATCCTGGAACCCACTTGGTCTCTATCAACTCTGCCACAGAACATAACTTCATAGTTACATACATTTATTCTTCAGGTAAGTAATGGCTGAATAAAATATATTTTGGGTATCACTGGTTCCATGTGAAAAAAAGTTTTATATGTGCAATTTTTGTTATAAGGTTGGTATCACTCAAACAAATTCTATATATAAAAGCAGAGAATTTTAGTTCAGTGTTTATGACTATAAATGATCACATAAAGGGTATCATGTTAATTATCATTTCTTTTGGTTTTTTTAAGGTACTATTACAGACCAGAAAGGAAAAATATTTACGTATGGAGGGAAATATTTACGTATGGAGGGAAAACTTTTAAAAGTTGCACTAAAGGTGGTCACGGTAAGCTATGGTGCTCCTTTGATAAGAACTATATTGGAGCCTGGGGAAACTGCATGGGTGAGCAACATTTTTTATGTCAGCTTTGTTCAAATTTATTACCAAACACAACTAAAACTTTGAAGTAAATCACTAATATCCATACCATTATTTTTCAATATATATATATCTATTTATTATATAATCATATATAATTAAATGAAAAAATAAAACTTCTTATATCAAATTATATTACCAAATACATGTCTCATGTCATTAAGTACATTGCATGCCATATTCAGGTCCTGCTGGTTGGAGTAGTGTGTATTTTTGGATAGGAGGGAATGACTTACAACAAGCAGGCACATGGAGGTGGGTTGCAGATGGACAAACTATGGTCTACAAAAACTGGGGGGCGGGGCAGCCATCAGGAGGCCATGAACACTGTGCAGGGATTTCTACACTTCCTGCTTATTATAATCTATGGAATGATTTTTCATGTAACAGTAAATTTCCATTTATCTGCAAAATGAATAAAGTCAGAGTTTAGGTACGTGGTTTTTGGCAAAGGCTCATAAAACTGTTTTCAAAACCAAGTTAATCAAAAACATTTCATAAAATTGACTACTGACTCCTCTTAGAGTCTCACTGATCTTCTTTTTCTATGTTAACTAGATTAGGAGATTACTGATTAGAAGTGATTCCTCACAGCACATAAATCAATAAATGGAATGTGTTTGGTGAGAAGACTTAATGAAGATATGCTACGCAATGAAAGCCAAGCCTTGCCACACTTTCCTTCCTACCAATTCTAAACAAAGTGAGTGGCACATTTGTGCAGAAAAGAGCACATGGAAAAAGCCGATTAAGTTAACTTAAATATATAAAGATATGCTGACCCAATCTTTTGTAGACGTGTCAAGAAGTTTAGTGCACGTTTTTGACTCTATAATAATTGTACTTTCAAAGAGTTGTGATGCTCGTCTCAACAGATAAACCAACAATTACTCCATATAGTGCAAGTATAAAGCACCTAGGGGACAGCAGGATTTACTTTTGCCCACAAACATCTAAGACAGAGGACAAAATCAGGAATAGAAGTGGTATGAGTGCAGTTACAAATTATAAATGGTTTAAGCATCATATAACCCAGAAAATATAAGGAGATATCTGTTTAGAAAAAAATTACTGTTAACACTGCTAATACCCTAAAATAAGAAGGTGGTTTTTAAATAAATTAAGACTGCTTATCTATAACCTTTTTATGCTCCTAATTGAAAATTGATTTCAAGAACAAGACAATTTTAAAAATACAAAAGAAAGTTGTATTTTATTTTTATTTTTAAAAAATCATACTGATAAAGATAATCACCACAGTTTGTATCAGTGATGGAAAGCAAACAGGAAAATTAAAGATAAACCTGTACACCTTATAATGGACAGTTAGACAAAACTGATTCATTAATGCAACATATCCTTTTTCATGCTGCACACATTTAATAAAGCAAGGAGCCAAGGCATAAAGCCAAAAGTCTGCAGGTGGGGCAATTTTTCCACTCTGATGGCAAGTTGCGCAAGCGGGTGTACTTAGATAAAAACATGTCAATTTTACTTTGATAAATGCTTACTTTGCATGTAAAACCTTTACCTGATTATCCCAGGTACAAAAAAATTAAGGTCAGCCTTGATATATTTATGACTGGAACCATCTTTCAACAATGAGCACAAATTCAAATCTTAGCGTCAGTCTACTTTTTTTCGTCTTTTAAATATTACTCAATGCCCTATACTTGAAACACTGCTGTTTCTACCATTAATAAGCAACTGAAGAGTATATGTTACTAAAAATGCAAATGGCAGTTTCTTCAAATTCTTACTGTAATTCTTCCTCATTTTTTAAAGATTTAAACAGTTCTGCTTACCTATGCATTCAGACCTTAACGTACTACTAAAAAAATCATGTGGAAAAAAAAAATGATAATTTTCTTTTTAATTATCTAACATCTTGTAAACCAAGGCCAATTTGTGCAGCAGGTTTTTTTTTTAGACCCCAATAGATATCATCAGTCTACATGGATCACCCCAACAGGGGCTCTCGCTAAGTGCAATCAGCTTAACTGGATGACACAGCTCCTCTTGTTTCCAATGTACTCGTATAATCACCAGCTTTGCTGTATTTTATTGAATGCTATAAGGAGGTGTCATTCAGTTAGGCTGATCACAGCCAGTGAGAGTCTAAGCAGAGTTTGGACTATCCATGTAGACCAAAGATGTCTATGGGAACGGGGCCTTATATCTT